GCGCAGCGTATGTCACCGCCACCGGTAGTGCCTGCGGCCGTGGCGGCAACAGTGGCGCGAAGCTCGCCTCCTCCCGAAGCGCCACGCTCGCCTCCACCCCTAGACCCGAGGAAAAGGGAGAGGGGGATTGCGACGGCGGTGGCTGGTGCTGGCATCGGGGGCGGTGAAGGGGCGGCGGTAGTGGCGGGCGGCGGCGCCAATGCGGTAGTGGAAAGCGAGATTGGCGGCAGTAGGAAGAGGTCGAGAACAGAGCACGAGGATGGGGGGGCGGATCAGAACCAGATTAACAACAGCAGCAGCAACGTCTTGGGCGCGGAGAACGGGGTCGGCGGCGGCGTCCTTCCGCCAGGCTTGCCCGCAACCGGCCACCCGCAGGCGCAGATCGTCCCTCCCGGGCTTGTTGGCACCGGTGGTCTGGGCTTCGTTCCACATCAGGCCGGTGTCGTGCCGGACAATGCGAGTGCCCCGGTGAATGGGCCAGGCGGGATGGGGATGGGTTCGTGGACGGGGGGCGGTGTGCCGCAAGGACGCGTACAACACCCACCGCCAGCTGGGATGATTGTGCGGAGCCCCCAGGGGGGAGGGTTGGTGATGCAATCGCCGCCACCGCCACCGCCGCCCGCGGCGATCGTGCACGGCCACCCAACTCCGCCTGGTGTGGTGATGATGCAGCAGGGAGGAGGGGCGTTGCAGCACCAGCTTTCACCGGTTGCGGTGCAACAGCAGCCCCCGGCGGCGGGGTGGCTTCCTTGGAGGGCCCCGGGATGGCAGGAGGAGTCGGCGGGTGGGATGCCTGATGAGATCGAAGAAGAGGTGGAGGGTTGGGGGGGAGGAAGAGGAGGACGAGAGGGAGGCTGAGAACGACAGCGAAGAAGAGGGGGAGATCGTGCTTTGAGGCTTTGGCTGAATGGTTAATGTGAATCGATCGAGATTGCTTGTGCTGTGCTGTCCTGAAAACCCAGCTTGTTTCCTGGAGCCCTCTTTCATACCTCCGCCACGGCCCGGGGCACAGCAAGAAGGTACTCACAACATCAATGCACAAGAAGAGGCGTTGTAGATGAACGTGCTGAGACAAGATCGTTGTATTCCATAAAGTATAACAACAACCACTGGACCAAGACTTGGGGAGAACCACATGTCGAGGCAAAGAGACGCCAATCCTGTGGGGGGGGGGGGGTCACATCAACGTTGTGTTTGGTGCGTTGACACTTAATCGCACTACGTATTCACACCACCTGGACTACGCCACTGGGCGCGGAGCAATCGATTCAAACGATGGCCTGCACCACTGCAATCGTCACCAAAACAGAACATACAGGAACACCACAAGATCAAGAGAACGCGCAAGAAAAAAGCACCATCACTGGAAACGAGTGATCAATCTCGCCCGATCATGAACAGGCAGACAACACTGGCCGTAACGTGCATGGTTCTTCTATAGGAGAAGCGAAAAATTGGGGTCACTGCTGTCGTAGGTGTTTCGTGGTTGACAGGCGGCGCCCAAGGGTCTGCCGTCCGTCGCATCTGTCCGACCCTGCAGGGCAAGATTTGATGACGTTCTGTATATCTCCTATCGCGATGCAAGAGGCTAGCTATATGCTTTGACGCCCACGACTCGTTGTAGGCATACGCTCCCGTCGGGCATGGTAGTTTTCTGTCATGAGTTGTCGGCATGGCCACCTACTTGGGTGTAGAGCAAGGTGGATTTGTCGAGCGCAAGGTGTGACAAATAGATATGTGTGTGCTTTGTTGTTCTGAGAAGCTGCAAGTGTTCCGTGGTGGAACGCTTCATGCACAAGGTGTGGTGGCGGGCGCACATGGCGTGCCTCGTGTTGGACCAGTCCCGTCTGAGCTCAACCTGCAAAGATGAGCGGTCGCCTTTAGCTATTGCCGCCCAATAATCAGATGTCTGATTCTCTTTCCATGTCCTTTGTAACGAGTGTATTTACCTCCTTCTCAGTCCCGGGGGCGATATAACCCTGGCCATCATTATCGTCACCACCAAGTATGCTGAGGAGAGTGGAGACTGGAACGTTTTTTGTTGTGAAGTCATCAACAACATCCAGATGCCGGTGCTTTTAGTGTTGGCCTTCGGGCATGCGCGTGGTGATGGTGCGTGAGTCACACAGCTATTACGTGCATGCGCGTAGACGATCTTGTATGATCACACTCGGCAGCTCGTCAGCTGTGAGAACAGTACCGCAATTTTGCCACTACCCCCCGGGCCTTCTAAGAGCGCCGTCGTCTCCGTTTCCCGAAAAGAGTATTTATCGATTGAACGTTCGGTCTAGCTTTGCAGCATGGGAAAAAGATTCACACAACATGTCGGAACTCCTCCCAAACGAACGACGCCGCAGGAACGCCAGACACACCTCCAGTATACAACTGGTAGCCAGAGGTCAGGCTGAGGTACTGCAGGTAGGGCACCGAATACAACGCGTACAACGTCCTTTTACCTGAGAGCCATGATGCGGCTGCCCAAGTCCTGGTAGGCCTTCCCCATGCGGTGGTAGGCGTTGGACAGCTCCCGGTGGTTGGGGGCCGCCGTGAGCTCCACCAGGTAGCAGAAAGCGCGCATGTGCGCCAAGGCCCTGCGAGAAAAAAAAAAAAACCCGTCATCTGTTTGTATCATGCGTGAAATGAACTTTATTGTGCACCACAGCCTTCGTTTTTAATGGTGCAGTATTAGAGTGAATTCGGTTCGACTTTGTACTCGACTTGAGCTGGAGAGGGACAAAAATAACGCCAACCAAAAGCACAAGACAGCAGGATGATGGATTGTATGCTCCAGTAAGATTCTTGAATACTATATCAAGGCAACGGCACTCTGTGGGGTGATACAAACGTATCATAAAAGTAGCCTAGATTTATCCCATCCAGATAGACACCAGTGATGGTGTCGATTTGCTCTTGTTTGTGATGAGATGGCTGCATCATTGTCACTGTACAGTACGCAGCCAAAGCCGAAGTCTGTCGGATGGCGAACAGAGGCCAGTACTGGTACTCTTGAAAACTTTGATGAACGGCTCTCACGAACGCGCCACTGGTGTACATCACCCCGATGAGTTGCCAGACATACATACGCCTACTAATGTTCCCTTCGGTAGGGTGGCTGGCGTCCTTGATATCTATGCATGCAAGAGTATTTCGCGGAACTGGTAGACAACTCTTACGTCTGCCTGCCTAGCCATATTGTATGTGAACATTTTCTGGACAAAAGAAAATGATCAAGGTGAGATTCGAACTCACGCTCTTTCGAACTAGTGCCTTAAACTAGCGCCTTAGACCGCTCGGCCACTTGACCACAAATGCTGCTCAAGCACATGTCCAATTACGGGTGAGTTGTGCCTATGTACAAGAATAAAACGCTCTAGCACGTGATCGCTACGAGGAGCAGATCCAAAGGTCATTCTATGTATATGGTTAGAGCACAAAAGCAGCCATACACACATACGTGGAAGTACATGTGTTGTAGTGCGGTCGGTTTTGGATGTTAAATTTCAGCTTTGGGGATGCCATACAAATACAACATTTGTGCAATATAGGAAATCCGGGAAAACAACGAGGAGACCACCATTTGCAAGTACCCTAACAGAGGTGAACCTCACTTGTCATAGATGCCTGCCGTCATGTAGTACTGTCCTAGCTGTTCGTGGCACTTCACCACCTGAACACCAAAAGACAAAAAGAGGAAGGCAGTACACAGTACACACGTGGGAAGGAAGGGGCAGAAAAACGCGACGAGAAAATTTACCGGCTCAGCCCTCCAGCTACGCATGGGCAAAGGTTTCGAGAATCAGAACGAACAAATCGACAAAGAAAACACAACGAAAACAAAGAGGTCCTGGTGTGTGGCCAATCAAGACAAAGCTGGCAACCCTGGAGCGATCAATCACCCAGTTGGCAACTCAAGAGCGTCGCCACCAGTAACAACAACGCAAAGGCTTTTTTCGAGCAATCCTACACTTCTCAGTCGGCAAATACTCCAAGAGCGGCTCTGTCGTGTTTTCCAGCCGGTCGAAGGAACAGGATCATCATCAAGGCCCTACTCAACAACAGCGAATAGGAACCGCCGCCGTCGGTGCTGTCTGCGCAGCGTATGTCACCGCCACCGGTAGTGCCTGCGGCCGTGGCGGCAACAGTGGCGCGAAGCTCGCCTCCTCCCGAAGCGCCACGCTCGCCTCCACCCCTAGACCCGAGGAAAAGGGAGAGGGGGATTGCGACGGCGGTGGCTGGTGCTGGCATCGGGGGCGGTGAAGGGGCGGCGGTAGTGGCGGGCGGCGGCGCCAATGCGGTAGTGGAAAGCGAGATTGGCGGCAGTAGGAAGAGGTCGAGAACAGAGTACGGGGAAGGGGGGACGGATCAGAACCAGATTAACAACAGCAGCAGCAACGTCTTGGGCGCGGAGAACGGGGTCGGCGGCGGCGTCCTTCCGCCAGGCTTGCCCGCAACCGGCCACCCGCAGGCGCAGATCGTCCCTCCCGGGCTTGTTGGCACCGGTGGTTTGGGCTTCGTTCCACATCAGGCCGGTGTCGTGCCGGACAATGCGAGTGCCCCGGTGAATGGGCCAGGCGGGATGGGGATGGGTTCATGGACGGGGGGCGGCGTGCCGCAAGGACGCGTACAACACCCACCGCCAGCTGGGAT